GTCAGGCAAACACTGGAGGAGGAAGAGGAGGAAGGCAGCAGCACATGGGGCCAGGTTACCGGCTCCTCAAGAATATGACCTGTACCTTCCCCTTCTTTCTCTCCCCTCACTCTTCCCACCACGGTGGGACTATAGACAAATGCTTTGTGCACAGCAAACTCTGATATACATTCCCTTGTTAATACCTTTGAAAATGTTCAACAAAAATTTTATTTTAATGCTTTAAATATTTAGTGTGTACTGACCCCCTAGGTCCTTATTCTGCTCTATTTTCTTCTGTAACATCCATTCCTTCCTGATTTACCACACTGTTTCATTGTGTTATGTTTATTATCTTTACTCCTTACTCTCCAAGGACAAAGACTTTTGTCTGTTTTCTTCACCCAGACATCCTGTGATGGTGGATGGGACGGTGCCTGAAATACAGTGGCTGCTCAGTAAATACTGTTGAAATGAAATGCTGATGGATTATTTTGTGAAATTATGAATGGTCAGTTAAAAAGTGGTGGGAAGCCTAAACGGGGAAGGAAGGAGGGAAATACGAAGTTACGATTATGATTGGGACAGCAATGCAATAGTTGCTACCAGCAAGATCCACCCATGGGTGCGAAAATCAGGGGCAGAGTCTGAGGAACAAGAAAATATTTGCATAGTCTCCAAGAATCTCCTCCAAGATATTTTTAATTACAAAGAGAAAAACAGTAATTTAACAACGGACAAATGCAGCAGACACCACCTTAAACAAGTGAGCAAGGATCCCATCACCAACAGTAAAACATACTGACGTCACGGACCCCTGACCTGGGGCACCAAGGTGGGCGCGTTCCCCCCCACCCCGTGGTGTTCCTGCCGATGACGCATAACCACAATCCAATCACGAGAAAACATCCCACAAATCAAGTGCAGGGACATGCACACAGTAACTGACATTCTACAAAAGAACTTCAAAAGTATCGAGGTGATGAGAGGAAAGGCCTGAGGAACCGCCACAGGTAGGAGACTACGGAGGAAACAGTGTGGGATCCTGCACTGGATCCTGGAACGGCGAAAGGACGTCTGTGGGAAAACAGGTGAGATCCACATAAAGTCTGGAGTGTAGACAGTATTGTGCCAACGTCACTTTCTTAGTTGCGATAACTACACTTCGGTTACAGAAGACGTCAATGCTTTAGGAAGCGGAGTGGGTGTATTTGGGCACTCTCTGCACTCTTTGAGCCACTTTTTGAGTCTAAGAATTATTTCAAAATACAAAGGTTAAAAAGTCATTGGAAGTGGGGGAAGAGCAGAGCTTGCCAGCTCAGTGTCTTCCTCGACAATCCCACGTCTCCCCTACTCCTGTCTTATCCCCATGACTTCTAGGATGTTCCTCGGTCCCGCACAGGACCCTTGGGCAGCAAAACAACCTGGAAGCCGCATGCTCCGTCCGAGGGAAAGAGAGGGAGGTGAGGTCCAGGGCGAGGGAAGGCAAGGCGGCACCTGGCAGCGTTCATGTGTAAAGACCTGTTTCCTCCAGGCCGGCTCAAGAGCTTCCCCTCTGCCACCTCCGACAGGGTCCCATCACACGTGGGACGAGGGCGGGGCAGAAGGGCGCATACCAGAAAAGAAAGTATGAAGCAATTAAAATAAAATAGGCTTCCACAAGACAGAAACTTATCTCCAGAGCCACCTACTGCTGAAATGGCAACTGCCTGGCTGAGCTGAGTGGGAAGGCTGCAAGGGTGTGACCCTCGTGACCAGCAGGCGGCGGTAAGGCCCCGTTAGAAGAGTGGCCCCCCAGACACTCAGGTGTACTCCACTAACCATGAGTTTAAAACCTTAACTGCATCTAAGAAAACGTAATTCTCCACCTCTCTGGCTTGGAAAGCAATGTTTTTCGGACCGGTGCTAATTCTGAGCTGACGAAATTGGTAACTTATTCCAAGCACTTCTCTATATCACATAGCACACGAGCGTGATCGTTCTTGTTTCCAAAGACACAATCAACTGTGGCACAGATTGCAGTATTTTAATGAACAACCTAGTATAATATGACTAACTATGGAGCAACCGGATCGCAACTCGATACACTCTACATTCACTTGCCAAAATGGGGTCACTGGTCTTAGCAAATTGAAAACTTTGCCTGCTGGAATTCAAACAGCCCCTATCAAGTCCTGAGGACCAAAGAATGAGATGAAGAGTATTTAGTCCGGATGGAGACCTTACAATTCAACACACTGAAACATCAGGTTGAGCTCCTTCAACCAGGCAGTCGAAAGCAGTCTTCTCTTAACCATCCCACTTATTAGAAATTCTATAAATTATTATATACTCAAGTTATCATTTTAAAGAAAAGAGGAAAGATACAGTATTATAATTTGTTATGAGGTTTCAAGAAATGAGTCTACGTGAGTTAGTACCGAGTGGGGTTTTAGAATTCAATCTTGCAGTGGGCTGAGGACATAACAGAAGCTGGATCCATTTTACACATTTAGAAAACAAAACAACCCAATCCCCTACCACTAGGTCATCCAACAAAATGTTCTTACTTACAGACATTGGCAGCGAGTGAGCAGAAAACAGAATGACCACCTCGCTTCTCTTCTCAAGTGGAAAATGGTCCAGTTCTTTTAGAATGTGGTCTGCAAAGCACTGTGCGCATACCAGGAAAGGAGGGTGAGGAGGAAGTGGGAAGAAAGAAATGGAAGGAAAAGAAAGCATTTTAAAAATGAGAGCTACACCCCAAATCTCAGAGCAACCCTCTAAAATCAGAACTCCCTTTTTTAAAAAATTGCAAACGGTACAGTCTCTTTGCTTTGGTTCATCATCACAATGGATCATAACGGATTCAGGGGCCTAGGGAATTTGATGGGAAACATCTAAAGCTCGCTAATGGCTCCCTGCAAGTGAAGGCTGCAGGTCTGCTTCCCCTCGGGAAGCGCAGGGCACACTTCCAGATGGAAAGGAAACACAGATGGGAAGAAGTTGTTTTAAGACCTCTCATTTGCTCCGTTAGCAGGAAAACAGCTTACAGGATCTTTCTAAATCTCCCTTTGTTTGGCATTCAGGCATATCACATGAAAATACGTTAGTCAGAAACAGGAGAGAAAGAAGCAGATACTCTTCTATTTTCACGACATTTTCTTCTGAGCCCGGTATCCTCACCGTGTCAATCTTAGTAACACCCTTCACAACAGATGACTGGTTGTACAGCCCCCGTTAAATTCACAGAGGGTGAGAAGATGTGGTGGACGTGGGGGTCCATTCGGTCACATCTGTGGAACTGGGCTAGAGCGCGGTCCCGCCTCCTCCTCCAAACCTCTGTCCGCCAGACCAGTGAACCCCCTTCGTCTAGTTGGCACTTTCTGATTCACCTCGAAAGGTGCTGAAATACCAGATCTGAAGAGGCTTTCTTTCATCTTACACTTTCATCATTCTCTGTCATTTAATTTATAGAAAATGCTACGAAGGACACTAATGGGTCAACTGACAAAATAGGAATTTGAATGTAAATTAGATAAAAGTAAGTATCGATGTTAAATTTACTGAAGTTGGATGTTATATTGTGGTTATGTTAAGAGAATATTCCTGATTTTAGGAAACACACACTCAAGTATTTAGATGTAGACAGTGATGATACATACATAACTTATTCTCAAATGGTTCAGAAAAAAAAAATCATTTATATACAGACACACACACAGTATATAAATGATAATGACACTGAGATAAATGTTAATAATACATGAACATAAGTAAAGATGAAGAGTTCCTTATGCTATCCTTAATCTTGTAATTTTTCCACGTCTGAAATTATTTCCAGATAAAGAGGTTTGAAAAAATTATAAAGGACAATTTATCAGAACCACATGAATCTACACTTGTTGGTATTTTGATATACCAGTGGTCAGTTTATATTATAGGATGAGCAAACTATTTACTAATAAATACTGAGATATTAATCTTTCCAGAACTCTCAAAATTTGGTAAATAAATGTAAATAATAAATTAAGTATTATTTCAAGAAGTGAGCTTA